GGCCAGCGTTCATCAGCCATGGACCACATCCTTAAAAAGCGCTGCGTCTACCATCTATTTTAACAGACATATGAGCGGGACAGCTATGAGTTTAACTGCAGCAGAAAGTGGGTTTGTTGTCTTCCTTCTCTCTGTGTCAGGTACTGTATATCTACAGTTACATTTTAAGATAGCATGCTTATTTTAGTGGAAGGACTTTGAGTGATTACCGGTAATTGTTGCCGTAGCCATTGCTTCTTACAAAATGTGGTGACTAATGTTCAAACCACTGGACTGGCTGCCATGCTAAGGGTGTAAAGCTGAAAAATTAAGGATGAATATTTTTAGGCAGTAATGTATGGTATGGGTACATGAATCATCGTGAATTCATGCATGTGTGTTTCACATTATGTTGAATTCCAAGTGTTGTAATCATGATTAACCGAGCATGACTTCTTGATTATTTCATCATGTTTATGGCCCTTCAAATAAAGTCAGTCCTTATTCTTAAGTATACCAGTTTATTGTTATAGTGATAGTTACTGTTATATAAAGTTTTTTTTTCTAATAAAATAATTGAAAATTGAATTTGAATCCAATATGACCGTATATACTGTTTATACATATATGATGAAGATGGAAGATCCAATACCATAAAGTGTTACCAATAAAGCTTAAAAACAGTGGAGTGCTCCTTTTAGAAAGAAAATATAGATATAGAAGAAACAGAAAATCCAGCCAATGCCATTAAATCACTTCAGCCACTCTCTGAATAGCTGTGGTTATTTCTTATTTTCTTTATATCTACTCGCTTGTATCAACATTTCATTAATATTTTACATTAAACGTTGTAAGCCCAGTTCATGTGAAGATGTGTCCACCTCAGTGTGCCAGTTCGGTTACATTAAAGACTTCATATTACGACGGAAAAGAGTTTTACATCCGTGCTCTGCAGTCTTCTGTAGTTTCACACTCCTGACCTGAGCACAGACAGGAAACAAGCCAAGCAGACTATTTTTAACACACTGCACCCCTGTAGAATTGTAGAATTTAAAATAAAGTGTGTATGTAACTTCATCTATTGACTCCAGTAAATCTTTTTTTTTTCTAAATTTTTATTTATTTTGTTATGTTTTTATGCTGGTCCAGGTTACCTTTCCATAAGTTTACAATTTAAGTCTATCCTCCGGTGTTTTTTAAGATTGTGGCTCCTGATGTGCTCTGTGTTACAGTGGTACAGGGTCAGAATGACTGGGGAGTGACTTACACCTCTACTGAGATCTGTGCCTTAAAAGGATCAACAGTGGACATAAGCTGCACCTACAGATACCCATCCAGGATAAATGACCATGATACTACAGTTGAGGAAAAAATCTGGTTTAATAATTTGCAGGGTGAGGAACCTGTGGATCTGAGAACAGACCCAGAGTATTCAGGTCGTGTGCAGTATATCTGTGGTAACAAC